TAAGGATGGGCTCTAGTTGGAGCTCAAAACAGAAGGAATAGAAGAGTTAAATGTCTGGGAGACAGAGTGGGAGGGAGGTTTGCCACAGTTCCTTTGGAATTAGATATTATTAGTAATTTAAAAGGGGGCTTCCTCGGTGGTGCAAGTGGCAAAACACCCGCCTGCCAACGCAGGCGACGTGAGACCTAGGTTCAATCCCAAGGTGGGGAAGATCCCCTGAAGGAGGGCGTAGCCATCCATTCCAGTATTCTTGCCTGAAGAATCCCAGGGACAGAGGAGCCTGGCAGGCTACAGTTCAAAGGGTAGCAAAGAGTCAGACACAACTGAAGTGACTCTTCATGCATGCATGCACTAATTCAAGAGGTTCGAGAGAGAGAGACTCATACACAGAGAGAGATCCTGAAAGAAGAATTGAAATTTGGCCCTTTCTATATTTTTGTGACAGTAACAAATATAGTGTTCTTAGTAATTTTTAGCACAGCCCTTTAAGGAATGGTAACTCAAAGATGCAGCCCATTGAGCAAAAGCAAAGTTCAATTTGAGAATACAGGAGTGTGATATTAGGAGAGCCTGTCTTCAGAGACAAGCTTCTTGTGTTTGTTTCCATGTCTCAGTAACTGGGAGACTTCAAGAAGTTCACTTTTACCTCTCCTAAGCTCTAGTTTCTTCATGTATGAAAGGAAGATAACAGTAATACTAATAATGTCTACTTTGTAAAGTTTAAATGAAACAATGAATACACTGATGTTAACACAGAAAGTGAGAAAAGGCAAGTGATCCACCATGCTTGCCTGTTGTTATTAGCAGCGTTGCTATCAATTCCTATATTTAGAGGGGCATAGACACCTCAGAGGACAAGGCGATGGCACTCCACTCCAGTACTCTTGCCTGGAAAATCCCATGGATGGAGGAGCCTGGTAGGCTGTGGTCCATGGGGTCGCTAAGAGTCAGACATGACTGAGGGACTTCACTTTCACTTTTTACTCTCATGCCTTGGAGAAGGAAATGGAAACCCACTCCAGTGTTCTTGCCTGGAGAATCCCAGGGATGGGGGAGCTTGGTGGGCTGCCGTCTATGGGGTCGCACAGAGTCGGACACAACTGAAGTGACTTAGCAGCAGCAGCGGACACCTCAGAACATCTGGGGGTCTGATAAAAACTGACAACTTTTTTGAGACTGAAATCATCTTCCAATGTTGAGAGAAATTAACATTATAATATCATACATGAAATGCCATATGCAATGGCATGGTATTGTTTATGAAATTTATGGAGTTGTTACATTTTAAAAGTATATAATTTCAGATTGTTGAGAACAAGGACTTGACTAGGCTTTTCCATTCACTACCTCTATTATTTTGAATAAGTCATTTTCCAAAGATAACTAAATTTTCTCATCTGCAAAATGGGCTCTCATCTCTCTAACTCATAAAAGGAAATCCCAACAACTGATTCAAAAAGTGAAAGAAAGTGTGAGTTACTCAGTCATGTCTGACTCAGTGTGACCCCATGGACTGTAGCCTACCAGGCTCCTCTGTCCATGGAATTCTCCAGGGAAGAACACTAGAGTGGGTTGCTGTTTTCTTCTCCAGGGGATCTTCCTGATACAGTGATCAAACCTGGGTCCCCTGCATTATAGGAGCCTTAAAGAATTCACCTGCCAATGATTCAGAAAACAAATAATAAAAAATATTAAGTGTAAATTACAGGCTTGGTATCCCAATCAAAGCAATTGCTCTTGTTCTTGCTCTAATGTCCTTCACAAAAAGTTGAATGCTTTTTTCCACTAAGCTCTTTGGAAACTACTTTTATGAATTATCCTATTTCTGTAAAATACTTGGATGACTGTGGGTTTTTCTTCTCATCTGGGCCTCCTCATGTTCTGGAGCCTCTGAGTGTAGCTCAAGTCCCCAGTTGTCTTTGGCACACAGTCCTACCTATGGGTGTAAGTGTCCAGAACACTGATTAATTTTCTCGCTTCCCCTTCTGCTGCTTCACTGGAATAACCAAATTGCACTACTGGCTTGTATTCTGGATTGTCATACTTTTCCTTCCTCACACGCATCCTGAATCTCAGATTTAAGCTGTTAAGTAGGATACTGGCAGCTGCTGAAAGGACAGAATTCAGCCCCTAGAAAATGATGATGTTAGGATCATTGTGCTTCCCAAATGAAACTCAACAGTAAAATAGAATATTGTAGAATATGCAATCTGGCAATTGTATCTCATATCCCTATTTGGCATGAATATCAGTTAGGGTTTGGTTATAAGAAACAGAAACTAAGTCCGGCTGACTTAAGCTAATTAAAAAAAAATCTAAATACAAGACAAACTGAGCAATCAAGCCTCTGAAAAGACAGTAATGGGGCAACTCTGAGTATCAAAATTTAGGAGTCAAAGGAGAATCTCTTCATGGTTCTATGGTTGAGATGGAGCCCTGCCAACATTTTCCTGCCCATATATCATTTACGAAAGATTCAGATGCCCAAAAGAAAGGTTGGCTGGCCCACTGGGTTCAGGTGTCTACTCTATGACCAGAGAACAAGGCACCTTGAATGAATATCACACAAAGACGATATATGTTGGGCAAAGTGTCATTTTTCAAAGGAAAATTGAAATGCTGTTTCCAAAAGAAGGGGGAATGGATACTGGGCAGGCAAAAACAACAGATGTCCATTGCAGCAGGTCTATTTGGTATATCTTTGATGAGCCAAAAGACCAGAAACTATGCAAGGATACAAGCATCTCACATAGAAACACACAATTCTGTGTCAGTTTCTAGAGAAAGCCCACCTCATTTGATTGACTTTATTCCCTTTTGATTCTTTTCTTGCTTTAAAAAAAAAAAATGCTTTTCTGTCTCCAATCTCATTCCTTCTGCCCAGTTTGAATATAGTCAGCTAAGTACACAATCCTACCCCCTTCCTGTTATTGAATAAATATCAAATGATGACAAAGACAGAAGCATTATGCACATTTTTGATAAAAATTGTTCCAAATTACCTTGCATTATTTTTAGTCGGGGAAAAAAATGGAAGTATTTTTGTTAAGCAATGATCTAGTCTTGTCATATTCCACCCTGAAGACACATCATGTATCTTTCTTCTAATGAAGTGTTTTCCAGAAAGTAGAATATAGTCCTCTGTTTCCAGTCTTTAGACGCCACTGATTGCTATGGTAACCTTCGGTTTCTTGAGTTATAAATTTTTTTCCTTTGTAAAAGAAGTAATTTCAGTTTAATTGACTAATGGATTTTAACTCAATCTATAATAACAAGTACAACCATACCCCTTTTTCACTAAAAATCTGTAATCAGAATTTTGCAAATGAAGAGGTCGTTTCTCAAAGACCCTGAAATGTAATATATAGCAGGAAAAACAAGAAAAAAAATGTGAATCAAGTAACATATCAAAACCAAAATACAGTAGCAACTTCAACAGCTATTTCTTTAAAAAAAAAAAAAAAACACAGCATTTAGTTTAGAAGATCAAAAGATAAGCTTGGAACAGTAATCAGGCTACTAAAAAAAAAAAAAAAAAGACACAAAATGAAACTCCCAAATTCATGAAACACTGTGCTCAAGAATGCATGTATTTATTCTTTGCTGTGAAAAATCCTGGAATGTAGATTCAAATAGACAGATCCAAATGGTATTTTGACACATAACATCAGGGCTAAATGTGCCCTAGTTTACTTTAGTTCCTGCTTTACTCACACTAGATTCAATGCAGGATCCAAAAAACTGTTGAAAAATTTAACTTGAAACAAAGTGAAACGCCTTAACAAATCTAGTTGTCTATCATCTGGCTCTGTGTTTATCCCATTTGCAAAATCAACAGGGAAGTCTGTGAAAAGAGAATTGGGCCAAGAATCAGAAGACTTCAACTTTTATTGTAAAATCTACTATCTTTGTGCTGTTTGTCCTTGGGCAAGCTGCAGAAACACTATGAGTTGTGTTTTTTAAGACCCTGCCCAGCCTACATCAGAGGAGTTGTGATGTTGTTAGGATTAAATGAGATAAGGTTACTAAAGGCTTTGAAATATACAAAGTTGGACTCTAGTGTAGCCCACAGTGACAGCTTGTCAGGCGGTGCTAATAGTAAAGAACTCACCTGCCAATTCAGGAGACTTAAGAGGTTGGATCCCTGGATCAGGAAGATCCCCTGAAGGAGGGCATGGCAATTCAGTCCACTATTCTCACCTGGAGAACCCCATGGACAAAGGAGACTGGAGGACTACAGTCCATATCATCACACAATGTCGGGCATGACTGAAGCGATGCACGCACGCATGGTATAGTGCTAAACAGGGCTAAGCTGTGACATCAACTTCATTCATAAGCCAGAGGGTAGTGATATTCTGGAACTCTGCTCTCTCACAAAAGAGCCTTGTACATCTCATGACTTTCCCACATGGCCCCAGGGAAGACAAGGAAGCCCAGATGGTGGCAGTTTGCTATTTGAAACACAACCTAAGGATTTTGAAGAGCAAATGTTGATATTGTCAAAACAAAGCGTGGGCTACCTAGAGAGGTGGTGAGGAGACTTCCAGAGACCACGTGATTTATTCTCTAAGGTTTACTACATAAATTTCTATTTCCTTTTATCTGCTTCAGATTGAACAAAAATAGATGTCATTTCTGTTCTCCAAAGAAGAATAATTAAGCCTCTGTATTGTGTTTACCCAGTTCTTAGAAGAAAGGTCTTCTTTCACAAACTTCGAATGTCGATATGCAAAATACAACTGTTTTGATTACGTCTGTTAAAATGAAAGTACCCTTCACATGCTACCAATTCCAGTATTCTTTCCTGGAAAATCCCATGGACAGATAAGCCTGGCAGGCTACAGTCCATGGCATCACAAAGGAGTCAGACACAACTGAACACACACACACACACACACACACACACACACACACACACACACACGTGTACATCTTAGTTCACAGCACTGTCTAAGCCAAACTTTATAAATTTATAATTCTTCCAAGGGTGATCTTACCTATAGATCTGAATGAAGAGCAAGCTTCTTTGTATGACTTCATCATTGCAAGGGAGGAATCAGTAGAGAGGAGGAAAAGATATATGGGTCTTGGAATTAGAAGGTCTCAGTGGGAGTCTAGGTCAGGGTACTCATCAGTTGCTGGACCTGACTGGAAGTTTCCTGATTTGCAGAACAAAAATACTATTATTACTCTCAAGGTCATAGGTGTGTGCTCTGGGAGGATTTGCTGAGTAAACTAGCTCATGCTTGACTACAAGTGAAGAATAACTCGTGAATTTAGCATGGTCCAATTTTTGCTTATCTTCTGTTTTAAAAAAAAAAATGCTACAGTCCATGGCATCACAAAGGAGTCAGACACAACTGAACACACACACACACACACACACACACACACACACACACACACGTGTACATCTTAGTTCACAGCACTGTCTAAGCCAAACTTTATAAATTTATAATTCTTCCAAGGGTGATCTTACCTATAGATCTGAATGAAGAGCAAGCTTCTTTGTATGACTTCATCATTGCAAGGGAGGAATCAGTAGAGAGGAGGAAAAGATATATGGGTCTTGGAATTAGAAGGTCTCAGTGGGAGTCTAGGTCAGGGTACTCATCAGTTGCTGGACCTGACTGGAAGTTTCCTGATTTGCAGAACAAAAATACTATTATTACTCTCAAGGTCATAGGTGTGTGCTCTGGGAGGATTTGCTGAGTAAACTAGCTCATGCTTGACTACAAGTGAAGAATAACTCGTGAATTTAGCATGGTCCAATTTTTGCTTATCTTCTGTTTTAAAAAAAAAAAGTATTGCAGTTTTTTTCAGATTTTAAAATAACATATGTCTGCCATGTAAAATTTGGAAAATATGGACAGTACAAAGAAAAAAGTAAACCTCTCTCTTACTCCCCACGAATAATCACTGCCAATATTTTGTGGTATTTCTTTCTAGTGGGTATGTATAGATATATATATGTATGCTACAATACATGCTGTGTATTCTGATTTTTTTCTCGTGACATGATATTACACACATTTTCCAAGTCTGTTACTATTCTTAGAAAACATGAGTTTTAATAGCTCCTTTAAATGCCATTGTATGACTTTGCCAAGTTTGCTTTTGCCTACCCTGAATTTCACACCCTTTAAAAAATTATTTTGGAAGTGAAATCTAAGTTTAAAAAAATCAGCAAAACAAAACTTTAAAGCAAAAATAGGGAATATTCTATTTACTCCCCGTTGTCCTGCAAGATGTATTCTATAGCACATTCTCTGTATCCTTGTAGAACTTTCTCTGTACATTCACAAAAATAATTTCTGTATTCTTGCTACTCAAGATCTGTAATATCAGCATTCTCTTGGAGCTTCTTGGAAGCAGAGAATCTCAGGTTCCATCTAGGCCCACTAAACCAAGTTTTCATTTTAACAAGATCTCAAGTAATTTGTACACATTTTAAAGTGTGAGAAGCTGGTCTGCACCAAGGAGCTTTGAGGCCAGATCCAGCCTGCTGTTTTTTTGTATGGCATGTCAAATACGAGTACCATTTATATTTTCAAATGGTTGAAAATAAATCAAAAGAAGATCAGTATTTAGTGACACATGAAAATTACATAAAATTCAAAGTTCAGTGTCCATAAAGTTTTAATTGAATGTAGATATGTCTGTTTGTTGATGCACTGTCTGTGGCTGCTTAAGTGCTGCAGTGACAGAGTTGAGCAATTATGACAGAGATGTTATGGCCTACAGAGCCTAAAACATTTATTATCTGTCCTTTACAGAAAAGAAAGTTTGCCAACCCTGGTTTATCTGGCAGAGTATCTAGGACTGTGAGAATAGAGCTCAATTTGTTTATATCTATGCATATGATTATATGAACTAAAAGCAAATGACACAAACATTTTGGAAACTGAATATATATTTCATAAGTCACTATCATTTGGTGATATTTATCATATTTAATATTTGCCTATTTGCTTATTTTCTCTCTCCTCACCCTAGAAACAAGTTTTAAGAGACCATCTTGTTTACTGAAGACACACATTACGTTCAATAAATATTTGCTCAATTTTTAACATTCACAGTGATATCATGAGTAGGTATGATTACTATTAATACTACTCATTCTATTACTATTCATATCTATACATAAAACAAAAATAGGAAATTATCTGCCCAAGACCACAACCAAATTAACTGACAAAGAGTACAAATATCTTCTATTAGAAACATGTTTTTCTGCTCTACTTTTTCTTTGAAGAACTTTGCTGAGAAAAATAAGAGAAGAAATGGCAATGACCATTTCTTTATTTGCACTAAAAAATACAGAGAGTATTTGGCTGGAACATTAAAAATACAGGTGAGAGAAGTTCAAGGACTTGCCAGATTTACATAGCCATTGGCCACCAGTACTTGGATTTCAAAGCATTCAGTATAATAATTTCAGACCCCAAAATACAGCTACTAGACTCTGAAAACTGTATGATATGACAAATTGCAGAGGGCCATTTAACTGTTTATTATGAAAATATGAAATTGGCGCAAGATCTTTGATCTCAGAAATAGACTGTTAGTTGACGTCAGTTGGGCTCCCTTGAAGGCTCAGCAGGTAAAGAATGCACCTGCAATGCAGGAGACACAGAAGGTGCAAGTTCAATCTCTGAGTTGGGAAGAGTCCCTGGAGGAGGAAATGGCACCCCACTCCAGTATTCTTTCCTGAAAAACCCCACAGACAGAGGAGCCTGGTGGGTTATAGTCCAAAAAGTTGCAAAGAATTGGACACAACTGAGAGACCAAGCACACAGCACACACTTAGTCAAGCACTTTATTGATAAATTCAGGAAAGACTCGAGTTATAGAAACAAACCTTGGGAAAAAGCAGGAACACAGGTAAACCATGAGGAACTAACTGGCGAAACTCTATACTAAAGCAAGAAAGAGGAAGGTACCAACCTTGGCTGACCTGACTTAGGAAGCAAAGGGATAGAGTGTGAATAGCTATTAGTAAGACAAAGAGTAAAGGGAAACAGACAACTAAGAGAAAGGAAATTGGCCCTCCCTTTGCAGGAGCATGGGGGACTTAGAAGGACTGGGAATTGAGGTCTGTGAATTTTTGTCTCATTTCTAACAGATGCCAACATCTCAAGTTGTGACAAATGAATAGAGAATTTCCAGATACAGATGCAATTATGAAAACAAGACTCTAACAAAGAATCCTGTCATTTGCTCACCTGGACAGCCCCATGAGTGAACTCACTTTGTCTGAATATGGCTGCTCTTCAGAGTTTATCGGTCCATCATTTGGATTTGCACGTTGTTTCAAATTTGCAAGGTGTTAACGTCAGTGTTTCAATGGCCAGGCATGAGACACTATGTTTGTCTTGGGACAAAAAAGGCAATAAGGATGACAATGCTGCTAAGATACCTGAACATCTGATGGGTTGGGGGCTTTGTGACTCAAGAGTCTGGTTTATTTTGGCTGAGGGCATTTTCTCTAAGCAGCAAACGCAGGTGGAGATCAGAGTACCTTAGAGCTAACTCTCTTTGCCGCTCAAGTAACTACTTTGTATGTGCATTTACCCATGTGTGTTCAACTACAGTATGGTATTTCAAAATATGCTTTTAATCACACAATAACCCTGAACTTATCATTTTAATACACTGAGCTTTCATTAAACATTTTTATTCACTAAAGAAGAAAATTCCAGAAAGAATGAAAATAGGTTTTTTGCTTACTTAAAAATAGTTTTTCCCAAAACCAAAAAGAAAATTTTTAATTTACTAGGGAATTTCACTGACAAATCAGTTCCACACCATGATCTTCACATCTTTTTTAAAACCCAGCTCATGTAAATCATGGCAGAAGATTCCTTTTTTCTCCAAAATGTCCTTTTCTTTTTATTCTTAGAATCAGCTAGTTCATTATGCTCAGAGCATGACACTTTATCATCATTGATTTATGCACTGCCCGTTTTTGCTTTTATTCTTCTTGTTTGTGTGTTTCATTTTACCTATGTTTCCCTATACCTCCCCACCCTCAAAAGGCAACCATTCTAATGTGTTTATATATCATTTGTTTGGTATAGAGTTGACAGATCAAATACAGGATCCACAGTTAGATATGAATTTCACATAAACTACAAATAATTTTTAGTATAAGTCTCAAATATTGTATGGGACAGGCTTATACTAAATACTTAGTATAAGTATGAGCTTATGCTAAAAAATATAACATTTTATTTGAAATTCAAATTTAACTCAGTGTCCTGAACTTTCATTTGCTCAGTCAGCTAATCACCACTTGGTGCAATTTGCACAATGTTTCCTATTTTGCTGTATGTATCTTAATATATCTTAACAAGAAATGGATAATTCTCTCTCTCATTTCCTTATACTGATAACAATATTTTTACAGTCCATCTAACTGCCTTTGTGTTATCCAGTTTTGCTTCTGGTTCTGCGAATCCTGAAGGCTTCACTGTACTTCATGGAATATATCTGACCGTGTGGACCTATCTAGTACCCCACAGCTAGATACTCAGCTTGGAATAGACTTCAATTTCCAATACCCAGAAGCAATATTGTGACAAGCATGGTCCTTTATCATCTGTGTGAGAGAATCTTTAGACTTTAAACTCAGGACCACTACTACTTGATCATGTGTCTGTGTGTATGTGTGTGTTCAGTACATGTATGTGTGTGTGTGTGTGTGTGTGTGTGTGTGTATAATAATATATATATATTTAGTAGTCACATAATGTATATATATACTCATACACATTGAATTTGAACAGGAACTGTCAACTGATCTTCACAGCAGTGGCAATAATCTTCAATTCCACCACTATTTGGTGTTTTCCTATATTTTAATATGTTGCTTATTTACTAGGTGGACTCTGGGAGTTGGTGATGGACAGGGAGGCCTGGTGTGCTGCGGTTCATGGGGTCACAAAGAGTCAGACACGACTGAGCAACTGAACTGAACTGAAAGTAATAGCTCCCATTTGTATTAGTTTAATTACTAACACATTTCAGAAACTTTGATATATTTATGAGCCTTTGGATATTTCACTTACAGAAATTGCCTGTTGTTACCCTTTGCCATTTTTCTTTAGAGTTGTGTTCTTTTTGTTGAATTGTC